CTCTCTCTCTCTCTCTCTCACTGTCTCTCTTTCTCTCTCTTCTTGACACAATATACAGAATCAGTTGTATGAGCATAATCATCCACAAAACATATCTACATTATAAACATAAAATGTTTTTAACTGGAACCTATCAGGCCGAGCAAACAACTAACATTGCCCGTTTGCTTTAGGGCAAGGTTTCATTTCAGGTAAGTGGAAATGAGAAAAAGAGGACATAACAAAACGGCGTGGGCCTCGCTTGATGTGAGTTTCATACAGGCTGGAGTCCATTCCCAGAGTCTTTGTAAGTTTCAGTGTTAAAACCAGTGGCGCCAGTCGCACAACATGAAGGATCTTGAACAAAAAGTGTGCTTTAAAAAGAAGCAGGGTAAGATTGAAGAATACCGGACCAGCGGACTGGGTCTACTCTGTCTTGCCTAGGCCTATGTCCTTAGGAATTCATGATTTTTCCCCAGTTTTTAATATCTCTCAATGGAGAATCTCGGACCGGTAGATCTCTTCATTGACAATTTGTCAGGGGGGAGACTCTTCAATCTTCCCAGAAGCAGTCATATACGCCATATTGGTCTGAGCAGATCCCCAATGCTGTTATTTTTGTGACGACGACCGGAAATAGACATGGACATAATACTAAATTTACCATAGCACGTGGTAGGCAAAATTTACGACTTGAGAGCATTTTCCAGTCACTACTTACAACACTCGCTCACCGTACCTGCACACATAAATCTCCAAGTACAACACAATTGTGTATTACAAGTCGGTCCTTTGGTTGGATTTTCAATGGCAAGAAGTGCATGTAGTGCGCCTTTGAAACCGCTCTCCGAAGGAACGAACAAAGAGGGAAATCTTACAAAATTCTACTCGCCTTAATTTCCCAGCAACACAGCTGTTGAGGCCAATGAGGCCGTTGCCATGACGACCCGTATCAAATCAAAGACCAAGAGCAAACAACAAACAGAAGCCAGACGCTAGTTCATTTCGTATCCCACCCTCATTTCCTTTTATTGGATCGTTGCCTTTTTGAGTAAAGCATTTACGGCTGTTATAATTGTAGCTGCTGTTATCATTTCGCTTGTGTCTTGCTACTGCAGTTGGTGTAGTGTAGGCCCATTTGTTGCAGTTGCAGCATGCAGTTATCGTTTTTACTGTTGTTGTTAATGTTGCTGTTAATGTTGTTGCTGTTTGTTGTTGTAGCTGTTGTTGTTAATGTTGCTGTTAATGTTGTTGTTGTTGCTGTTGGTTGTTGTTAATGTTATTGTTGCTGTTGTTGTTGTTTATTGTTAATGTTGTTGTTTGTGTTCTTGTTGTTGTTATTATTGCTAAAGCACTGTTGATAAAACTGTAGCGGCTGCTGCAGTAACTGCTGCTGTTTGATTGGTCAGCAGTTTTGCTTTTGTTACTCGTGATTAAGTTATGGCATTGGTAATAGGATATTATGTTAGTGCTGCTAGTGTTGTGGTTATTTCTTCGGGTTCTGCCGTTATAGTTGCTTCTGCTGCTGCTGTTGCTGCTGCTGCTGTTGTTGTTGCTGCTGTTGTTGCAGTGGTTGTTGTTGTTGTTGTTGTTGTTGTTGTTGTTGTTGTTGTTGTTGTTGTTGAAACTAAAACGTATAACCCCAGGGTTCCGTCTGCTGAGGCAAACATAATAAATGAATAATGCCACTGCTAGATCGAGTAATATTGCTCGTCTTCGATTTCCTTCGCAAGAGGGCACACGCCAACGTGCGGGTGGGGCGTTTTACGGGGGGTGGGCGGCTGGTGGGAAGAGGGGATTTTACATGAGAACCGAAGACAAGAAAAGTACATCATCATCATGCAGTCATATAGGCCACAATATCAAAATGGGTAGCCTAACAATCTTGGGAGTGAATGAACAAAATCCCCTACTCTAATGGTACTTACAAACCCCAAAACTCTATTTTAAGAAATTTTCTTACAGCATAAATTATACCATACCAACCCGGGCACAAGACTCAAACAAAGACGCTGTTACAAAAGAAGTAGAGGAGAAAAAAAAGATGGTGTAAACTTATGAAGCTTACCTTCGTTTCCCACCGTCACTTCCAGCAAGAAGCTCTCAGACTGCGGAGACCGGACAGGCACCTCCTCCTCCCCATCGCGATCGCTGCCAGGTTGAGAAGGAGGAGGAGGAGGAAGAGGAGGCGAGAACGGCGGGTAATTAGCGGCGGCTCCCTCCAGTTGAGGGATGAGCGCCCCCTGTAGCTCTCTGGTCACCACAGGCACCTGGGTGCAGCGGCTCACGCCATCCCAGAAGTGGAAACAATACACCAGATCCTCAGCGTACAGGAGCTTACCTGAAACACACACACACACACATATAGACACACACACATAGAATCTACACGTCTCGGTGATGATATGTTGTCGTTGCAGCATACCACTGACATGTAATTATGTTCTCATTGTCAATCTGGCTCTCTCTCTGGCTCTCTCTGTCTCTCTCTATCTCTCTCTGTCTCTCTCTATCTCTTTCTCTCGCTGTGTCTCTGTCTCTTTCTCTCTGTATCTCTCTCTCTTTCTCTCTCTGTGTCTCTCTCTCTTTCTCTCTGTCTCTCTCATCTCTCTCTCTCTCTCTCTCTCTCTCTCTCTC